TGGGTAGTAGGTAGACGTAGCAAGTTAAAGCGTCCTGATGGTTTAAATGGTGATTAAATGGTGGGAATGTATTAGAGAAAGCAAATAGGTAAAGAGTTGTTAGGTATTTGATTAAGAGAATAGTTCTTGTTATACATGATATATTACTATAATGTCGAAAGCCGAGAACAAAAGAATCTTTAATTCTAAATTGCTATAGTCTAAGCTACAATACAAATGAATGACGAAAGAAGGCTCTGCGCGCCGTATTTATAATAAAATATCGCTGACGGTGCAACTGAGTGGGCGAAACCTTGATATGACGCTACTTTTCCAGGCAGTACCGCTTATTCAGCATCTTTATAATATTGAGGGCTTTTACAGTGGTGTACGCTTATATTTAACATTGGAAAAGAGAATTATTAGTACAATAATAATATAGGGTTTTATAATATAACTAACTTCTCTACCTAGATATACAATGTTCTATTTATTATTGTTTTTTTTTTTTGAAGCATCTATAAAAGCGAACCGCTAACGCACCCTTTATAAACTGCAATGGTGATGAGAGCCGAATAAATTCCGGACATTGTATTGCATCGTTTGGCCCTTTTCAACTTTTGCTTTCCAAAATCATATAGAAAGGTATAATTGCCAGAAAACTATAATATAAATAAATACATATGGTTCAACAGGACATTCCGTAGCGTCATTATTCATGTTTATGTTTTTTTAAACTGAATGCAAAATAGAAGTATACATTAAAATAATTGGTTATTCATTTTAATTTCTATTTGTTTGTCTAGTTGGCTTCGGATAAATATTTTTTGTTCATTATCATAATGTAGGTAATATTGGAAAAAAGTATGGAGAAAAACAATAATTAAACTGGATGTTAATTAACCCTTTCGCTGCAGATATCGCATATAGGTGTTTTCTTTTTTATAAGTATATTTGTTTTTGTATATATCGGTATTTTGAAGAGAAATAGAGTTATGTACAAGGTCATTAGATATAGCAGAAAAGGACAATTCACGAAAATCGGTTTGAAGGTGCAAGAAAAAACGGCTCATCAGAATGGACTCTACTACTACTCCTATTTCTGGGAAATTATCCATGACAAGACATTTTTCAAAAGATAGGCAACCAAAGAAACAGCGGGGTTCTGTTATCCCCTTAAGGACACAATTTCAAAAGAAGATGGATCATTTTTTATATTTTTGGGTGAAGATGAGTCACATGATTACACCATCACACTTCGTCCAGAAACGAAACATTTTATGAACTTTAGGGACTAAAAGTATTCTTTTAGTCCCTATTTTCAGGGACTAATTTGTTTAAAAATGATTTTAATCCCTAAAATAAATAGGTAGGTAAGCAATATTGCATTAGTACATATAAGAATTAAAAACTCTGGTAACTATAATAGTATATTGTTCATCTTAGCAACTTATCACAACACACCGAGATTTCGATTTTTGAGTAACATGTTGATGTCAAATAAGGTGCATTCATTTTTTCACATGACATGTCATCATCATAACCACGTTTTGTAAGAGTACGGTCAAATCAAGTCAAGTGGCATTTAATTATTTTTTTTTACAGTTTTTCGATCCTCTAAAGTACATAAAATAGTATAGATACCTCAGGACTATAAAGCGTCTTTTTATCCCTCGACGAATTGTAGCCCTCCCTTCGGTCGGGCTACAAACTTTTCGCCTCGGGATAAAAAGAGTCACTTTAGTCCCTAGGTATATAATATATTATTGTGTCCTTTGACGAATTTGTTTTGTTCAAAAATCGAGGTCCATTTATTTTATTCCCTACTGCTTCATAACTTGTAAATGGTATACACAAAAAGCCTGTGTTATTATACATTCAGTTACAGTTTCTTGCAAATTATTATTATTTCATCAAATTTATTGCCGTTTGTAGAAAATCAAATTTCTAGGTTTGGTAGCTCTGTTATGTGTTGGTTTCTAAGTAATTTCAACCTCAAACGATGTGTTACGGGCTCTGCTATATCCCCAGTGTAGAGGAAATTACGAAAATTGGCCTAAAGTTGCTTCACCTAGTTTTCCGAGATATTTGGATTAAGAGGAAAAATTAATTCTTGCAATAAAAATGATAGAGATTAGCTATTCCTAGTAATGGAGCCTCTCTCCTTATTATGTATCAATTCAGGTATTTGAATTGCATTTCCAATGTGATTTTATTAAGAGAAAAATACATTTGCAAATAAAAATACAGGGGAGAGATTAGGGGCCTATTTGAAAATTCCTTCCCAGTTTAGCAGTTACTTAGAGGTGTAATAAACAGGTCATTGTAATTGATAAATCCTGAATATTTTATAGGTGCTATTCCGAGTAAGCTACCTTGATGGCCTTCATATTTGAGTAAAGTTTCCCTCGCCGAGAATGCCCAGACAATAAACGCAGATAAATTGAATGTCGAGAAATAGAAAGGGCTAGATGTTGCTGAAAGTTTGGACGAAGCAACTTGTTACAATGAGGCAATACATTTTACTTCGCTACATAAAGCTAATACCAAAATAAATGAACTAGAAGATGGATGGTTGAAAGACCAAACTTGTGAGAATTGTGCTTCTCTTATTTAAATGAACGAGTTGCAGGATACCGAAATGTGAAAGGGATATTTTTTTTGTCAGAAGATGAATACTCAAGAAGTGTTTTTGGACAATGTGTGCATTAGAAAATATTGAGTTGAGACAAGACCAATCTACTAATGTTTATGTTTGAACGTGATGATTTGATATCAGGTTATTATTACATATGAATTATGGTCATAAACAATAAGTTAAAAACTTAAAATGAGATGTATGATGTATGTACCCAAGTTCTAATGGAAGGATGTTTTTAGAATATTTTAAAAATGTCTCTAAAATGTTCCACAAAATATTCAGAAGTCGTTTTAAACATACATATATTAGGATCTATGATATACCTAATGGATACCAGGCTATATTATACATAATGGAAAACATTGCGTAAAGGTATATCTATTGTTTTTTGAGCAAAATCAACTTCAAATTATGGCAATGACAAGTTTAGGACGGTCTATTATTTTCTCCTTATCCCACTTGAAATCATTGGGATAAGCAGCTTATCCCAAGCAGCTCTAATCCCACAGGCGTAGTCGCAAATTTACCCAAAAAATATTTATTTTACTCTACCTTATTTGGCCACCATTATCTCATTATAAGTTACTCCGCTTTTTTAATAATATAATTAATTATAGGTACCTAAGAAATTGTTAAACATTATTGGTTAAGTTTTAAGTATCAGAAAATATTCAGAGATACAGAATTAATATCATTTAAAAAATACCTGTATAGTCGAAAAATCTCCAAGGAACTCCTCCAGACTTTAATGTGAAAATATACTCAGCTGCAAAGCTTCAATAGCCCCCGGGAACAGAACTTTTCCACTCAGGAAAAATAAGAATAAATTTCAAACCAATAGCCAGCTGAGATTCTTGACCTGAAATTAGTGTCAATGAAACCTGTTCACTATGACTCTAAATCTCGGGACTTTGTTTTAGTCCCCAGTACATCGACCCTAAAATTTTGTGACTCATGTACACGCCAAACTTCCTGAGCGGCTTCATAACACCAAGTCGGACAATATTTTTCATATCTCCACCCTGGGCGATGGGACATTGCCGCGCTAGCTCTTCGTGAAGTTGTCGTTCTGACGTCCCTAAGGAAGTTGATACATGTACGTGTAGTTTCAATGCCAATCGACTGCTTTTTACATTACATTAACGATATCACATTTGTCGGACAAAAACCATGTGGCTTTGGGGAAGGTCCGACGCCATCAACATGTCGCTGTGGCGTCCCTGAGGAAGTTGATACATGTACGTGTGGTTTTGATGCCAATCGACTGTTTTCTATGTTACATTATTGATATCACATAGGTCGGACAAAAATCACGTGGCTTTGGGGGGGTCCGACGCCCCCAACATGTCGCTGTGACGTCCCTAAGGAAGTTGACACATGTATGTCCGACAAAAATAATTATGAATAACGATGTATTTTTAAAACATGTGCAGTAAATGTCGGACAAATAAAATGAGTATTAAAGTCAGTCGGACAACAAAAGTCGTTTTGATCAATTTCTGCCGAAATTCAGGATCTTCACTCCTGAGATTGCACAAAAAACACGACTGAATATCCATTCTTTCTCACACGCGTGGTTTTGAATGACCGTTTACTGAATAATTTCCGTAAATGCTCGGAAAACTATCAAAAAAACAGATTAGGGAATATGACACAGGGCCCCACAGGTATTTGACAAAGTAGGTAAATAATAAACTGACTAATATGCATGTTGCGGTAAGGCAAACTAATTTTAATTTTTTCATTGATTGTCTCAAATTTCTTGTCCGACAAATGTGATATCGTTAATGTAATGTAAAAAACTGTCGATTGGTATTAAAAACACACGTCCATGTATCAACTTCCTTAGGGACGCCACAGCGACATGTTGAGAGCGTCGGACCCCCCCGAAGCCACGCGATTTTTGTCCGACATATATGATATCGTTAATGTAATACAAAAAACAGTCGATTGACATTAAAACTACACGTACATGTATCAACTTCCTTAGGGACGCCACAGCGACATGTTGGGGGTGTCAGACCTTCCCTAAAGCCGCATGGTTTTTGTCCGACAAATGTGATATCGTTAATGTAATGTAAAAAACAATCGATTGGCATTGAAACTACACGTACATGTATCAACTTCCTTAGGGACGTCAGAACGACAACTTCACGAAGAGCTAGCGCAGCAATGTCCCATCGCCCAGGGTGGAGACATGAAAAATATTGTCCGACTTGGTGTTATGAAGCCGCTCAGGAAGTTGGGCGTGTACATGAGTTACAAAATTTCAAGATCGATGTACTGGGGACTATTTCTTTAATTACCTATGATTAGACATAGATTTATTTCATTTTTTACATTGGTAGAGTTTAATATGAATATTTTTCTCTCATTGCAGATATAATGGCCTCAAAACTACTTTTAGTTTTGCTACTTCTATTCTCGACACGTTTCAAAGTGCTGTTCGGTCTGCCCGATCTAATTCCTATTGGTAAGTCGTTTATTAGGAATTGTCGTTTTTTGTTTTATTTTTTTTTATAGAGAGGTTTTTAGGTGAAAAGTTTAGTAACTCATTTTTGGAAATTTCACGAAACAATTTCTTGTTTATGTTGAATTTTCAATTATATTTTGCATAAAATTTATATTCCACAGTTATCGTTCTAAAGCCACGGTCGCTTCTAGTTTTTCATTCAAAATTCTATGCCACAGCCCTTAATCACTAGCAAAATTGCTGGTCCAGGACACATATGGCGTAATTTATTTTCGTAATTAGACAAACTTAAGATACAGTTACACATATTCAACTAATTATACCTTTAGGCTTGGGCATTCTATATAGAAATAATTTAGTAATCCTCAACTTTATCAAGTCTCCTAGAGTTTCTCAGTATTTATTTCTTTATAAAATTACGTGCAATGAAAGTGACTTTTAGGCCTATCGCATTCAGAAACCAAATGACTCAAGTCTGAAAAAATCGACGGCTCTGGCTCTGATGAAGAAAGAAACGGGTTACAAACTAAATTAAAAAAAAATTGTGGAGGTGCCACTATGCCTAATTCAAGGCAAGCACTACCACAGAATTTTTCAGCAGGAAAGACACTCAGTTCGGCGCACGCGATTTGAAACGGATCAAGAACAGAGTTTCGAACGGTTCAGGAGTCATCAATTAGGCAATGGATCGACAACAAAGTCAACAAACTGGTGGAAACAGAAATCCGGCTAGCGACGGAATTAAAAAATCTCAAATCTTCGTCAATTATAAGGCCAAGACTTTTGATGGAAGTTGCTAATGACAGCAGGACGTTATTGATTTTTCCGCTGAGGTTTTGCTGAATAGAATTTCGATCTTTTTGTTTTCCAAAGCATATTGCCTGTGATTTTTTAGAATTCAGTAAGAGATTGTGATCCTCCGATAGTTGCTGAATTTTATATTCTATTTTCTCCTGGGGTGTGCGAACACCTGCACTGGAGCTCGTGGCTCATTGTGCCCCCTTGAAGTTTTCATATCAGATCCCCTCCCTTAGTTAAACCTAGGATGTCCCTGATATTCGTTTCCGCTATGTCCCCAAGTGCCGCTGTCTTTGCCATCAAAGGCTTAGGACATTCGCAGAGTACATGTAAAGGTGTTTCATCTTCCTCTGCAGACCTTTTGCACAGTGAGTCTTCTGCTAGCTTTATTGTGTTAAGGTGTTTTTTGAAAGGGCAATGCCCTATCAACAATTCAACCACATCTCTCAATTGTGTCCTGCTTGAGCTAAGCAGTTCTTCTGTTCTGGTCTTAGAGAGTCCTTCCATGAAGAGTTTGGACTGCCTGAGTCCAGGAAGTACCATCCAGAGTTTTTTGTGTTGCTTTCTTAAGTGTTCTTCCAGTTTGCCTCTTACATGTTGATATACCACATGTTGGCAGGGGTCCAATTAGGGTTTGCTCTGATCCTTTTCTTGCGAGAAGATCAGATTTTTCATTCCCTTCAATCCCTGCATATCCTGGCACCCATTCAAGGATCACCTTGTATTGTTTTGCTAGTTCAGCCACAGTTTTTTGCAGTGTTTCACTGTTTTGGACGTGGTGCTTACGCTCCCTAATGACTTAAGAGGTATTTGGCTATCGCTCCTGCTCCGGACCATCCAATTAGGAACTCTCTCTCGGGATGATTTCCGCGTATGTGGTTATCGCAATTATTTCAGCCTGTATGATGATATCCATTGAACCCAGGTTTAGACTCTACGTCTTCCCCGTGTTCTCGTTATAGATTCCCACGCCTGTACTAATGTGCGTTTTCGATGCGTCTGTATACCAGACAGATTCATTGGGTTTGCGCGTATTTCCACAGGCCCGCAGGCAATGGATCGACAACAAAGTCGACAAACTGGAGGAAACAGAAATCCGGCATGCGACGGAATTAAAATGGGCAAGAAGATTTATGCGATATGACTGCTGGTTTAGAAGGTCAATCCTTCAAACAGAAGCGCAGATTTCCCTGAGGAGAAGTACTAGGAGTGCTAAGTCTATAGGCGCAGACTTGGCGGATATGAATAAGAAAGAAGCCACCCTTTCTTGAGTCCCGTGACGTCATTTCAGAGGGAAAAGAACCATGCTCGCGAGAGAGTAGACTTGAATGGGCAGGCATCCTAGGGGGGATACATTTGACAGGCATAGAAATGTTAGGCATGTGGGTAGAGGGATTTTGAATGATGGATATGATTACGAGTATGACGAAAAATATGGCGGACCAAAACCAACCGACTAGAGGCAATAAGAAAATTGGTAACAGTATGTGTAAAGGCTGGTATGCTTGGGCATAACTGGGGCAATGTGTATCACCCCACAGCAGTAATGGAATCGTTGTTATTGCATAATAAGGGTCCATGATGAAATAAACATTTTCGAAAACCATTCCGAAATACAGATACCAACGGGAGGCTACTGGAAACAAGGCCCAACTATAATAGTAGAATTGGTCTGGTGGACAAGATGGCTCCACAAGCACACAAGAAACAGAAGCTGGACTCTACGAACCATGGGCAGAAACGCAAATCGTAATACCGATGAGGAGCTTCCTCACTGTGTTCAGGCTGAAATTACCATTCTATTATGCAGAATAAATAGAAAGTATAGAAACAAGCAACAGAGAAGTTATCCTAACTTGGGTTTTAGAGCACGACGGTTACCGAGGAAATGGAAAAGATGATGAACTAATCAAAAAAAGCTCAATACAGCTCATGACTGGACCAGAACTATTCTGCGGAGTGGCGATTACCATGCGGTAAATAAAAGAAAAGGTCTCAGGAGGATAAACGAGGGAATTTATAGGAAAATCAGAAACAAAAATCTCGACGGAAATGCTAAAGGGGGTGTGTGACCCTGAAAAACTACTTACGCTACTTAATTCAAGAATAGAGTCCTAAGATCTCTCCTGAAAACCGCAATCCTATATTATTCAAAATAATCTTCAAGAAAATTCCTTGTGAAGATAAATTATGCAGGAACTTGTGATGTCACAACCGCCGACATCGCAGTCTTCTGTTCGTTCAGTCGTCAGTGAACCGTACTCTATACTTTGAGTGGTTGCTATTCGCTCTAGGAGATAATTGTCTTTTGTTTTGAAAAATGCTTACACGTGTTAATACTGTCCCTGATAATCCAGTGTGACGTCATAACTGACTGGTATCGCTTCTCTGATGACATCGATAATGCATTTTCTACATTATACCTGTTCTTATTTGTAATGTATGCTTTCCATAATGTGTGCTCTGGATAAAATTGTTTTCCTAATATTTGCGGAAAGTTATTTATCCGACTCCCAGCTATATTTATTCTAACCAAATATATGTTTCTACTCTGATTGCAATCTATTAACTAACCAGAACAAGAAAACACGTTTACTCATACCGAATTCTGAAGCTAGTGTCGAATATCTCGCCGTCATTAAAAATATAACTAAAGTTTTAAAAGACTATCCCGCAGATGATTTATGAATTGGATATACTTGATACGGAAAATGTAGTGAGTTATATACTAGGAAAACTAGAAACGTGCAAAGCGTTTTAACCAAAGGGTGGCAGCTGCATTAGATTTATGCTGCATATGACTATATTGGCTGAAAATTTAGTATCTGTACGCTCGAAGGGTTCAATATTAAAGCACTATGCATATCTTTTTTGTTGAAAAAATTAAGCTCCTAAACACATTCGTAAAGAGTGCCAGCTTTCCACTCTGTAATTGAATTTAGAAAAAGTATACAAGGAAAATAAAAATGCAATTTCATGATCTGTCCGATAGAAGGACCTTTTTCAATTAAACGAAATTGACCGAGGAAACAAAGCTCGTTCTGAGAGAAAAAGAAAATAACCATTTTTAGTCGGAAAGTAGAATAGACATTTTAGCCCGGCACAGAAGTTTTACCAGATTTGAATTGAACTAATTGATTTCGTAACAAAATATTTTCTCGATTATTACGAGTTGTAGCCAACCATAATAATTGCTACCCAAAGGGACGATTTTCATAGAGAATATCGTAATCACTTTTGAAGAAAAATGCCTTTGTTGAAACAATTTTTTAATGATCTCCTATCTGCTGTATACTGGACTTAAATTATACACTGTTGTATCATTACACACGTGATTCATTATAGTTAATAATGTTAAAAGGCCGATAACAGCCGAGAGTTTGGAGATATAATCAGCCAAAGTGGTTATTGGCAAATTATTATCGGCCGAAATTGAGTATTTGGAATATTTAGTCCCTCGAAGGTTGGGATTGGGGCTTGAGCCTCCCTAAACCTAAAATTCCAGAGATTTGTCGGAACGATATCATGATGTCCTGATCTTTGTTGCTTGACTTTAACCTTGTGGGACCTCACCCGAGAAAAAGCAAGCAATCAATCAATAAAAAAAGTACTTTATTGTATTATAGCTATAATAAATCTTATTGACAGAGCATAACAGTGAAAAAAAAAAAAACAATACAAGATATCTCAAATAGTCAAAGGCGTCTCTTCCGCTCAACTAATTCATATATGCTGTTGTAACGTTTCTAATTACTTTGGATTAAAAAGATGTTATTGCTTACGGCAGCTGTTCATCGGAAAGCATTTCTGGTCGTCTTTAAATAGTGTGTTTACTGAGGGCGCCACGAAGTTTTTATTTATAAGGTCTCAAACTTCGAAATAGACCTCAAAATTAAATCTGAAATATTATGTATAAAAAGAAATAATATGTAAATGTTTAATATAAGTTGATGAAAAATTACAAAATTTAGGATTTCAATTTAATGAGTATCATGAATGTAAGAATAATTTGATTCCAACCCAGTACTACACTTAAAATTACTATTGTGTGAAATAATAACAATGATCGATCATTTTATTTAATTTAGGAACTTTTCTAATGGTCTATCTGCCCTTGAAACTCATATGCTCAACCGGCCAGCGAACTGAACATAGAAATGAGTAATTCCATTTATTAGGCAATGCTCAATAAAAAATATACA